GGATGTGTAATTAACTATAGGGGCTCGTGCATATAGGAAACATGAACTCAGATCATAAAGTCCTCGTAAAATGAGGGCGAAATCTCTTTTCCTTTTGAAAATTTGCCTCCAAACTTAAGTGTTAAAACTCTCCTTGACGACCCGAAGAAAAGAAAGTGAGGGTTCATGGAGGGGGCTGGTGCGAATTTTCGGAGCCCATATCCAATTCGTTCGTGGGAGGAGTTCAATGACTATTTATTGGAGCACTTTCGAACCAAGCAGGAGGGGGACTATTATGAGCATTTTTTTTTTCTTTAACATAGGTGGGAATGGTGATGGAGTATAAGGAGATATTTGAGCTTCTGTCGGGACGTTTCAGGAGACTACCAGAGATGTTGTTAGAGGGCAATTTCATGAAGGGAATCATACCAGAGCTAAGAGCTGCTGTGTGGGTGGAAAGACCCTGTGATTTAGGAGAAGCTATGGAGTTAGACCAGTTGATAGAGGAAAAGAACTCACTTTAGAGGAGTAGCAGAGGGGGTCGTTATTGAGGTTCTTACCACACGACAACCGCCTTACTTGCACCTATGGTGCTGACTGTATCAGGTCAAAGGGAAGCTCGAAAGGAGAAAGGCTTGGGAGCTTGGCTGGGAGGGAACTTTAAACGACTGACTGATATGGAGCTACAAGACAAACGGGGGAAGGGGTTATGTTTTAGATGCGATGATAAGTTTATACTATGCCATAGGTTTAAAAATCGCACTTTGCAAGTCCTTTTTATTTTTGATGTGGAGGGGATGGGCGGAGTATAGGTAGAAGGAGAAGTGGTAGAGAAAGAGGAGCCCTTACATTTGGAGGTGGCGGAGATTTCATTGAATTTTGTAGTGGGATTCACCTCGAATCACATCATGAAGATGAGGGGGTAGATAGGCGGGGTAGCAGTGGTTATTTTGGTGGATAGTGTGTCTACCCACAATTTCATATCCAATCAGGTGGTTGACAAGCTAAGGCTAAAGCTGGTAGACATGAGGTATTTTGGGGTGATGATGGGCATAGGGAAGGTGGAGAAGAGTAGGGGTATCTGTTAGGGATTGGTGGTGAAGTTGTAGGTGCTTCACTTCAAGGAGAATTTTCTTCTACTAAAGTTGGGAAGTACGGATTTGATCTTGGGTATGAAGTGGCTATAAACTTTGGGAGAGACCAAGACAGACTTGAAGGCCTTAGCTTTGGAGATCCATATGGAAGGGAGAATGATGATGATTAAGGGAGGCTCTAGTTTATCCAAAGCAATGGTTTCCTTGAAAAACATGGAGCGTGCCATATAAGGTGGAGTAGGATTCTTGATGGAGCTCTAGAGTTTGGAGGGAGGAGATACTTGGGATATAGAGGACATTCTAGAAGTAGTTTAGCCATTTCTCTAGTAGTTTAGCAAGGTATTCTAATCTCCCTAAGGATTGCCTCATCCACAGGAGCATGAGCACACTATTATTCTGAAGGAAGGAGTCTCTCCCATTAGTGTCCGATCATATCGCTACCCACAAGTCCAAAAGGATGAGATTGAGAGGTTAATTCGAGAGATGCTTGAAGTCGGAACCATCAAACCCAATGTGAGTCATTTTTTTAGACCTGTGTTGCTGGTGAAGAAACATGGCAATTGGAGATTATGTGTAGATTATCATGCCTTGAACAAGAAGATTGTACCGGACAAGTTTCTCATACCAGTCATTAATGAGCTGATGGATGATTTGCATGGCTTGGTGGTGTTTTCAAAGATTGATTTGAAGTCTGAGTATCACCAGATCAGAATGTGACCGCAGATGACTTTCAAAACTCATGATGGATAATATGAGTTCTTGTTGATGCTTGTTGGCCTCATTAATGCCCCTGACACTTTCCAGTCACTCAGGAATAGGGTGTTCAAGCCTTATCTTTGGAGGTTTTCCTTGGTATTATTTGATGAAATCTTTATCTATAACACGTCAGAGGAGCACTTGGGAATGATGTTGGGAACTTTGAAGGAGCACCAACTATATGCCATCTTGAAGAGTGCTCTTTTGTGCAACAAAGGGTGGAGTACTTGGGATATATAGTGTCTCTAGCTGGGGTGTCAGTGGATCCAACCAAGATAGATGCAATGGTGGAGTGGTCGGTGCCTAAAACCTTGAAGGGGATAAGGGGGTTCTTGGGACTCACCTGATATTACAAGAAGTTTGTGAAGGGATATGATTCCATAGCCTGGCTGTTGATAGAGCAGCTGAAGGATAGTTTCAAATGGGGGGAGGCAACAACTCTGGCATTTAATCAGTTGAAGAAAGCCATAACTAGTGTCCTTATATTAGCACTACCAATTTTCAACCAGCCGTTTATAGTGGAGACTGATGCATCAGTCTATATAGGTTGGGAGCAGTTCTCATGCAAGGGCAGTGGCCCATTGTTATTTTTAGCAAAGTGTTGACTATTAGGGCCAGACTGAAATAGTGTCTTTGGCATAGTTAGGACCAATCAAAAAAGTTTGAAGTTCCTGTTGGAGTAAAGGATGATGGCAGAGGAGCATTAGCGGGGGCTTTCCAAGTTGTTGGAGTATGATTTTGAGATCCAATACATGCTCGGATTGAAAAATAAAGCTGCAGATGCTCTCTCCAAAATCCAAATGTAGTCAAGTTCCCCAGGTTATGGCTTTATCGGTTCCCATGGTGGTGGATTGGGAGGTCTTGAAGTAAGAGAGCGAGCATGATGAAGTGCTGAGTAAAATCTAAAGAGATTTATTACAGAACAAGGACAATCATCTTAGTTACTCCTTGGTGGATCAAACGTTGCTATACCAGGGACGATTTGTGCTTTCGATGACATTGCCACACACCCCTCACTTGTTGTAGAAGTTTTATGGCACACTATTAGGGGACATTTGGGAATCTAAAAGACATATCGTTGATTGACAGTAGAGTCGTATTGGTGGGCATGCATAAGTATATGAAGAAGATGGTGGCTAGTTGTGATGTATGCCAGAGACACAAATACTAGGCTATTACTCTAGGTGATCTTTTACATCCTTTAGCTTTGCCCCAGATGTGAGAAGAGGTGATATGGACTTCATTTGAGGAATTGCTTAAGTCGGAAGAATTCATCGTGATTCTGATAGTGGTGGACATATTGAGTAAATACACTCATTTCATTCCCTTGTGCCACCCATACACCGTAGTGTCAGTGGTAGCCACCTTCATTAGAGAGGTGGTCTGTTTGCATGACATACCGAAGTCTATAGTGTTTGATCGGGGCAAGGTTTTTCTGTGATATTTCTAGAGGGAGTTATTCAAGATGCAAGGGATTATACTGAAGTGGAGTACCTCTTATCATTGCCAGACAGATAGCCAGATGGTGGTGATAAATTTTAGTGTGGAGACTTATCTTTGTTGCTTTATCTCGGATACACCAAAAAGGTGGGCCAAATGGTTAGCTTGGGCAGAGTATTGGTATAACACTTCATATCGTACAAAATCCTAGACTACATTTAAAATCCTAGTGTCATTAGTGAAGCAGTACTTGGGAGAAAAGTATAGGGTCTTGGAAAAATTGAAGGGACATCTACTGCGAGCGCAATAAATTGGTAAGAAGCAGGGAGATGGACACAGGATGGATGTGCAGTTTGAGATTGGGGCCATATTTTATCTTAAGATCCGACCTTATAGACAAAGGATTCTAGCTCGACGAAGGAATGAGAAGCTACCCCCCTGATACTTTGGACCCTACGAGGTCGTGGAGCGAATAGGCGCATTCACCTCTTTCCAACAGTTGCCACCAACTTCAGCCATTCATCCAGTATTTTATGTGTCGCAGCTGATACGAGTCATTGGAGATCATACATCCTCGCCCGCACCAATGGCTACACTGTCATAAGATATGGAGGTAATGTTAGAACAACTGGAGGTGCAAGGGGTGTGCCAAGGACACAAGGGGATCAGAGAAGTATTGATAAAGTAGAAGAATTTATCAAAGTATGAGGCGATGTGGGAAGCCTACGACACTATCCATAGGTAGCTTCTTTCTTTCCACCTTGAGGACAATGTGACTTTTTGGGAGGGGAGTATTGATGCAGCTGTGGACCCCACTCCAGGTTAAGGGGTTGGCGAAATTTCAGGAGCCAAAAGGCTCCTATTTTGTGCGTCCCAACATCTCATTTCAGACTTATAGGAGAAGAAGGATTGAGGAGAGGTCATGGGAGGAAAGTTGAGGTACATTTATGATGGATTAAGGCTATTTTGAAGGGGGGAAGTTTGTATGTTGTGGGATGACATGAAGAATTTTCTGGAGTAGTTTTCTTGGGTGCTTTTTGGTTCCTAGTTGCTACTAGGAATTGGGGGTAGAGACGATTCAACTCTCAATCAATGAATCAATTGTATCTTATGTTATCTTGTGTTTTTTTTATTGAAGATTGTTATTTCAGTATTATTAGTGTTTGTTATTTTTTTTTTTTGGTTGGTGGCTGTTTTTTCGCTGTTTGGTACGGATTTTGTTCTAGTGGCTATTTTGAGTGCTAATTTGATCCCCAAATCATATCAATATTCCGAAAAAAGACTAATAATAAAGATTTTCTTTCGTCGCCATGCTGACTTCTCAAATTTGAATGAAAGCACTTATTTTTCAGTTGCCACCATCCGTATCATTTGGTTGTGGTCTCGAGTTCTCTTATTAGGCCACTTTTGGTGCCATTATCATTACTTACCATCGAACTGCCCTCCCTTCTAAAATATTGGCAACATTATTATTGTCTTATACATATGCATCTTGGAGTTGCCAAAAAATTTATTCTATATCTTGAAAATCAATTGATTCGAATGACTTAAAGGGCTGTAAAAATACTCACTTTGTAATAGTCTGTAAACTCTCAAATTTTCTCTTTTGGTTTATGTAATATTTGCATTCAAGCTATTCTTTTGTGATCATCATTCACTCTGGGGGTGGTTTTAGTTTATTTGACTTTTTAGCATACTATGAATCTAATAATTCACTTGATGTTAACATAGATCCCAGGTGAACCCGTTCATGATTTGCTGCCTCAGTCCTCTCAAAGAATTCTTGCACTATCAGCTAGGTGTTCTATTAATGAAAAGATGAATGAGTTTGGCACACCACCTGTTAATGGATCGTCTGAACTCCAAATTACCTGCTCTGACCGCATAATCACTGATGATGCAACTACTAAATGCAATCTTATGCACTTGGGTAGAGACATAGATGTCAATGGGTATAACACCATGCTTCTAGCTCAGAGAGAAAGCACCAATGGATCTTTTAGTCATGTTAAAAAAGAGCAATTTGCATTCAATAGAGGAGATTTAGGACGTTCAGGGTGCTCTGGTAAAGGTCAAGGCACGCTAGGATTGCCACAATCTTATGGAAGTGATTCTAAAGACGCTTTAAAAGATTATCTAAGTAATCCATTAGCCGAAGCTTGTCTTAGCATGAGTTTGGGTGGTTCAAACACAGGCAACATTTTGGAAGCATGTTCCAATGCTGGTGCTCGACAAATTACACTATCACACCATGGCATAGTTGATGATGGAAGGGATCAAAGCAAAGTTTTAGCTACATTCCAGAATGTTCAAAGGGCTCGACATGTTTTGCCAAAGCTGCCAAAGGCCATTCATGGTGTGACTTCAGATGCATCAAAGGAGCTTGTTCCACAAATGCGTGTTGCACGGCCACCTGCTGAAGGAAGGGGAAGGAATCAGTTACTTCCACGCTACTGGCCAAGGATCACTGATCAAGAGTTGCAACAAATATCTGGAGAGTATCCTGTCGTTATAAAAAAAACAAAAATGAAACACTAAACATTTTGATATCTTAAATTTATCTTGTTTCTTGAATTGTTTTTAATCATGTGAAAACCATGGCCATTTTTTTCTTATATTTCAAAGCTATGATTTTCTTAGCTATTTATCATTAAAGTTCAAACTCGACCATTGTACCACTTTTTGAGAAGGTCCTAAGTGCCAGTGATGCTGGGCGGATTGGTCGTTTAGTTCTCCCTAAAGCATGTGCAGAGGTAATTAATTCAACTTGAAATTTGCTTATCTGCTAAACATCCTTTTGGTTTTCATCTCCTTTGATCGGTATAGTATGGCATACAGACAACCGTTTAAGTTATCTTGATAATCACATTGACTGTTCTATCTTTTGTTTCATGGTTTGGGTACTTCCACACTATTATTAGTATTTAAGAATCATGCCACTTTGTCTCTCAAGTGGATAATTGGGCTGCATCTTAACGGTTAACATGATGGCAGTAAACTCTATATTTGTTTTCTTTCTACTCAATCATAATAATGATGCTTGTTTGATCAAATCTTTGATTTGCTCAATATTGAAATTGCATTTAGGGCTGTGAACAATCCAATTTCAAGGCGATCCAGAGTAGGCTTGAAATTGGCTCAATGGCTTGGAGCTTGGTTTGAAATTGATTTGTAGCTCGATTCATTCAATTTTGAGCCAACTTGAATTAAAATTGAATTGATCTAGATACATCTCATTTTAATTTTAAACTGTCTTTAATGGGGTTGCTCGACCCAATCTTGCTCTAAAGCTAAACGAGCTGGCTTATTTTGATTGAACCAACTTGAATATAACTGCTAAAAAACTAAAAGAATTGTGCTCTTGCATGTTTTTGACTCTGGCCAATGCAAACAGCTGAGTGGATTTAATTGCCTCGTGGTATACCACTAGAGCAACTACCATTTCGTTTTAATTTTGAGCTTGTACTAGCCGATCCACCTATGATTTTAAATCGGTTTAAGCCAAAAATTTGGCTTGATCTGAGACAGATTCAATATTTAAACGATCTTCAATCTTTAAGAAAAAATCTCGGCCCTAACTGCATGGCTATACTGCCTTGTTTGGATACCCATCCACCCCCTTCTCTCAATGCACAATCATTCAAAGCTATGTTTCTTATCTATGGTTGTTTCATTAGGCATATTTCCCTCCAATTTCTCAACCGGAAGGCATTCCTTTAAAGATTCAAGATGCGAAAGGCAAAGAGTGGCATTTCCAGTTCAGATTTTGGCCAAATAATAACAGCAGAATGTACGTGTTAGAGGGTGTCACTCCATGCATACAGTCCCTGCAGTTGCAAGCTGGAGATACTGGTAATGTGCTCTATTCTCATCATAATGGATTTTCATTTTAACACTGCTGGAAGGTTCTAGATCTGTGAGTATAATGCCATTTCCTTGCAATATCATAGAATGATATTTTGTTAAACAGTTCGGAAATTTCAATTTACCGACAGTGTAAATTGTTGCTGCTGTTTTTACTTTCCTGACCCAAGGTTAAGTATTCTATTTATTTACCTATTTTTTTGGATGATGCTAATCTTCTTAGTTATAGAATTGTGTTCATGCAAGATATGGATTCTTAATCTGGTCATTTTGACAATAGGATAATTTTTTTCTTCTACAAAAGTCAGTGGTGAAGTTGTTCTAATTCAAAACAAGGTTTTTGGTTCTCAAGCATTGCGCATTTTTTTAATATTACATTCCCTCATACTTGATTTGCATTGAGGCTTTGTATGATTGAATGATTCAGCTTCCCTTCTAGGGAGAAGCCTCGAAGCCTCAGCTATAATAAAATTTATAGACGAGGGTAAATTGCATAGAAAATTGGCATGCTTTGGTGTTTTGTCACCATCATCCCACATTTGTCTCATCTTTCTGGGCCTGATCTAAAATTGTCTCTCCCTGCTACCCAGCCTCCAAGCAAAATGCCTTTGTTAAACCCTCTATCAAATAAGGCAAGTATGACAGACCAACTATGACTATCTTTGTATATTTGTTTAGATAGTGTTTTTTATGTTTCTTGTGAAATGCGTTTCCTACTACATATGATTTCACCCATCAGTTTGTTTTTTATTTTCTCTCATATTGAGTTTATTTCATGATTGGTTCTGAAATACATCCTATGTTATACAATGCTTCAATTTTTTTGTTCTTTCTTGTTGCCCTCTCTTTTGCAGTGACTTTCAGCCGGATAGATCCTGAAGGGAAACTTGTAATGGGCTTTCGAAAGGCAACTAATACTGTCCCTCTGCAGGCAAGCTTTGAGTCATTTCCTTTTTTCCTCTACTCCATCCTTTATTTATGTCTTTTTTGTACTTTTCTTCTGCTGGTGTATGAACATTAATCACTATGCAGTGTTATTTTATTTTTTACCTCCTTTTTTGTGCTTAAGCTGGTCCATTGCCGAGATTGGTCTACTTTTTTTTTTTTTTTTAAATTCACTCAAAATTTTAGCAGGAAGCTCAAATTTCTGCTTTGGCAACTGGGGCCCTTGGAAGTGAAACTTTCTATTCAAGTGTTAATGTGAACCTACTAGTAAGTGGTTACTCTGGACTTCTTCAGTCACTGAAGGGAACTGGAGATCCCCAGTTGAGCCATTTTTCTGAAAATTTGATTTATGCTGACGGGGATGTCTGTTGCATAAAGACAGATAAGCATGGAAGTTGGGCGAATGAGGGATTACTGCAGCCTTTACTGACTCCAGAAAAGAGAAGAAGTCGGAACATTGGTTCTAAAAGCAAGAGATTGCTTATAGACGATGAAGATGCCATGGAGCTTAAGCTTTCTTGGGAGGAGGCACAAGATTTGTTGCGCCCTCCTCCCAGGGTTCAACCAAGCATTGTCATCATTGAGGATCAAGAATTTGAGGAATATGAGGTAAGCTGTAACTGAGCTTGAATTGCCTATGCTTTTCTTCAATTTTTCTACTTCATCTTGTTAATTCAAGTGCTTGAAATTGTACGAATTATTTTTTTTGGGTTTTCTTCAATGAATTCGTACGTGTTACTTGAATGTCGCAAAATTCATACAATATCACTGAAAAATTGCACCATGCTTATGATCTTGTATTTTTTGTGGTGTAAATACTTACGATCATGCTAAAAACATCTTACCAATTTGGAGTAGTTAGGACTAGCCCCTTTTTCAAGTCGTTTATTAAATATTTTTACTTTCTAATTACACAATAAACTAGACAAGGCCTATTTATAACTTTAAATTATGGTAAACAATATATTAGATTTTCCCCTGAACAAGTTATAGTTGCTTTTTCATATGTTACTTGCCAATTTTACTTTCTTATGTTGTCTTCTTAGAATTGCCGAGTATTGCTTGAAAATACCGCTTTTGTTTTAATCATCATCAGCATCTGTTGACCTTAGTGTTATACCCAAAGAAGAAACATGAAGACTCAAAATCATACCAGGAACCTATCGGATCCAAGAATCCCGCTGGCAGAGTCGCTCCCACAAATCCCGGCTCCGTACCTCGTATCCGTCGAAGATACCCGCAAATTCTGCCAAAATCCCGCGATACTACTGTACATTCGGCGCCGAACCGATCAAATCCCATGAAATCCTGCTCAAAATCGGTGATCTCTCCTCGATCGAGCGCCCAAGTTGCCGTTAAATACCGGACCAAGTGAGAGCTTCGACACTCACTGGATCTCGACTCTCTCCCATTCGCAGATCCCACTCGATCGCAGGAGCTCCCCAACCCGTCGCCTGCTCCGGTCGATCCCATCTCCACAGCCGGCCTTCTCTTGCCCATACCCCGCCGATCCAGAGAGAGGGAGATAGAGAGAGTTCCTCTTACCTGAAGCCCGACGCCTCCTCCTCGAAATCGTACCTGGACTTAATTGAACTCAAGAGAATGACGGATGACTTGTACTTGGACTCTTGAACAAAATCTAAGTGGCTTAATAAGCAATTAAACCCAAATAAAAAAATTGTGCAAGAGGCTTAATTTGAACTGAAATCAAACTTGAATCAAGCTCGAACCATAGTGGACTTTTGCATTTGAACAAGGACTTGGACAAGTTGACATCGGACTTGTGGACTTGATTGGACCAAATTGACTTAATTGAACTCAAAACTTGTGGACATCGAACATGAACTGGACTTAGACCCAAACGAACACAAAAGAGCTCAAATTGGGCTTGATTCAAACATTTGAACTCAAGCAAGAATTTGAGTTAGACTTCAGAAGAATCCAAACACCGGGACTTGATTCGGATCAAGCATAGTGGACATGAACTCAGATCTGAACCATAACTAGATAATCAAGTTTAAATGGATGTATAATTATCTTAACATCACTCATCAAATTTGATTATGTTAGTGGAGATCAATGAATGGAGGAAGGACATTCGTTAAAATCCCAAATAGAAATAAATTATTTGCTCACTCATAAGCAATAATATAAGCTCAATGATATCACAAGGGCCATTGTCTTCATTCAACAACTCTTCAATGGCAGTCAGATACATCGCCTTCTTACAAATGGAGATGTATAACACACAAAAAATGATGCTCCTTACAAGACTGCCTGTTGATTGAAAGAAGGCAACACTACTACATGATAGTAGAAAATACGTTCCCCGCATCAAATGAATGATTGCAACCACCCGAGATTGGTGAAAGGGTGGATATGACACAGAAACAATGGGTGTTTTACAAACATCTTCAGGAGGTCATAGTGGATACAATGATTCCCTGCAAATGAACGCTTGTGGATAACATCAGTGGGCATATCGCAAGCACATCAAACCACTTTGGGAACAAGTACAAGTGTATCCTACGACAATCCCTACAAACATGCCTGTTGATTGAGATGGCAATACGAGAGACCAATAATGGCGGATTCGCCCCCACAAACAAGTGCAAATACATCAATACCACCCGAGATTGGTGAAAGGGTGGATTCGATGCAGAAACAATGGATCTTCTACAAAATACTTCTAGGAGGTCGTCGTAGAAGACATGTATCCCCTGCGAATAAAGAGGTCAATGAATGAATGGTCATTCATTAAAATCCCAAATAGAAGTGAAATGTCGGTTCCTTCACAAGCAACAATACGAATTCCTACAAGTCACTACAAAAGATCTGCAACACATATCAGCTCTCTACGAAGACAAATGTATGTGTCAAATGCCACTTTGGGTAGATGCAGAAAGACTTCAGTAAATGCAGTATCCTGAAGTCAATTTCAGTCTGTGAAGGAATACATCTACCTGTCCACTCATAACAATGACGGATGTACTACATGAGCCAAACAACTACAACGAATACAAGCATCTACGAACCAAAGTAGGAGACTTGTTAGTGCACTATGATCCACATACAGAAAGCAACAACTAGTGCACGACAGTCTACCTGTACGAAGAAGCGAACAATTATATTCAGAAGCTGCTACGCCACGCCAACGGATCCGCAACTTCTATGCAAGCGGATAAAAGGCGTCTACAAATACTTTCAAAGTACCCCCACATGCGTTATAGTTTGTATACACATAGGTACACTATAAAGGTAAAAGAAATTATAAAACCCACATGGGCCCCGGCGAGCGTGTTATAGAAATACACGTGACGTCTAGGGATGCTACGCGGATTATCAAATTTTGAACCCGATCCTCCTAAGAAGATAAAAGGAGTTGACAGGGTTCAATTATAACCCCAAACACCCGCATGGGCCCCAGCGAGCGTGTTATTAGTACACACGTGACATCTAGGGATGCTGCGCGGGTTGACAAGTGAATTCAGGTTTGAAACCGATCCTTCTATACGGGTCAATAGAAGTAGACAGGGTTCAAACCAACAAACAAATATACTGTTGTGGCGATAGGGTTCAAAATCCTAAAATTCAAAAAATTATCAAACTCCAAAGTATTTAAAATTTGAAATCTAACCATCCATACTTAAAGCAAATTTCATCCCCCCTCCGCAATAATTTATCGGGGTGGACAAATCAAAATTTACCTTAGCTCACAAAAGAGCTAAATGCTTAGTCGAAAATATTTCTAGGATCCATTCTCAAAAAGTCTTCTGCCAGTAAGGACGTGGTACGTGTCCTCTAACCGGCGATTTTGCCGCCAAATGGCACTGCAGGTAAACGGTTATGACCCGGGGCCCTCTGAACCGAGGGTTTTGCCGCCAAATGGCACCACAGATAGTGGTTTTGGCCAGAGCCAGTACGCTCCTTAGCGGTGTTAAATCCTTGAGATATGAATCAATAGGATATGATCGATAGGGCACGAAGCCCTCTGTTAGCTAAGGTGGATTCAAATTTGTCCCCTTAGACAAACATTCATCCCACGTCTTCAAGGTCCCCTTGGACGAAGCAACCCATGGCTGCCGACAAGGATCCTTCTGTCAGGTTGGGTCGACTACCTCATCTGACTAAGTAGACCAGGGATCACGATGGCCCGGGACGACGGAACTATGGGATCTTGATTGGGTCTATCATCCATTCCCCCACCATCCGCTTTAAGTGTAGGATGGTGCAATTTCTATTTAAATATCAAATCTTCCAAACCAAATTCCAAATCCAAAAACCCAATTCTTCAAATCCCAATATCCAAACACTTCAAATTTCAAACTTCAAATCCTCAATATCAATACTCATTGCTGCTACTATATGCCAGATAACACGTATTCTCTATACGTATCTGATTGACGACTAGCCTTAATCGAAAGTTCTCTCTTGTGATCGAGAGGGGTAATTAATTATAGGGGCTTGCGCCTATAGGAAACCAGAACTCAGATCATAAAGTCCTCACAAAAATGAGGGCGAAATCTCTGGGTAGTGTCTTATCTACAAACCCATCTGCCTTCCAAAATTTACCTCGGAACTTATTCAGTTAAAACTCCCTTGCCGAATAAAAAAGAAATCGTGCGGCGGGAAGGCCGGGGCCGAATTTTCGGAGCCCACAACATCATTAGCATTACCTTGACTATTTTATAAAGCTTTATAAATCTTCTGACATTCATATCTATTAAGTTTGTGTACTTGTGTGCTACTTTTAATCCTTCATAAACAAAGTATATGAGAGAGGTAGGTAGGATTATGTGTAGAGTGTTTTTTTCCTTTTTTTGCGGACATTTTGCCATACTATATATAGTGAGTGCGACATAGGTACTATCATGCCAAGAATGTTTTTTTAATTTTCTTAATTCTTTCTAACATATTTTCATACTATATATTTGATGGGGACATTAGATCATCATTGAAAGTTTATCAGAGACGTGGCTGCCGATCTACGGCGACGATCGAGTCTTTATATTTTTGAGTCAACAACAACAACAACAACAACATCAAGCCTTTATCCCACTACGTGGGGTCGGCTACATGAATCCTTTTTCTCCATTGTGTCCTATTAAAAGTCAAATTCTCATTTAAATCTAATAAAGAAAGGTCATTCCTAATATTTTCTAACCATGTCTTTTTAGGTCTACCCCTACCTTTCTTAACATAAGTCAAATCTAATACCTCTACTCTCCTAACCGGGTCATCGGAAGGCCGCCGTTTTATGTGACCAAACCATCTAAGGCGACTCTCTCTAATTTTTGAGTCATTAATGTATTTTTTATTTTCATGAATTTTGTTATTTGCTTATGTGGTTTTATTATTTCCTGTTGTACCCCTCTTATGGGAGTTGTCGTATGTAAGCCCAAAGGGCGTTTGTGTCTTTTTGTTTCGAGTCATTTGTATGAGGCTATTTAAAGCCCCACTTTGTTCTATTATGGGTAATGAATGCTTATTGAGAAATTTGCCTATACTTGTGTTTGAGCATTGAGAGTTCTAATGGAGAGAGTTTCCTAGGAGAGGAAGGGGATTAGCGCATCACCCACCAACCTTGGATACGGCCGGGTTCGTTGTTTTCTTTTTTTGTATTTTCGTTTTCCCTCGCCATCTTCCATCATTTTTCTTCGGCACTTCCAACTCCACCAAATTTCCCCCACTTCCTCCATACACCAAGCTCCACTAAAATTCCCTCATAGCCTTGGCCACCTCCACCCATCCCCAATTGGCCGCCGGCCAAGGCCCCAACCATCGGCTTCCCATCCCCCTTGGTCCTCTTTAATTTGTTTCCTAATTTGGATTGGAGTTAATTTGGGACTAATTTGAAATTCAAATTCATCCAAATTTGAATTCAAATTATTTCCTAATTTAGTTAATCTATTTTAGGAAAGTATTTGATTTAGATCCAAATTTGAGTTTTAAACTCAAGAGGATTTAAATTAACTATTTCCTAAAACTAAAACCTAAATTAGGAAACCTTTAATTGCTCTCACCAAATCAATCCTTGACCATGCATGCCACCGGCCCCTATGTGGGTAAATTTGGATTTATTTCCTAATCACCACATAAACCCAGTAAGAAATAATTCAAATTATTTGTCTCTTTGGCCGAATTTTTCAAAGACTCTAACCTCCTTATTTCTTGCCTATTTAAATTCCTTATTTTTGGAAAGAACTTTCCTGGCACCTCTTCACTGCCGCCGCCCAAGCCCTTACCCGTGCTCTCTCTTCTTTCCAAACTCTCCTCCCTCCCATTAAATTTTCTCTTGAATTCTCTGCCTAAACTTTCTTCCAAAGAGTTCTACCTTCTCATTGGGGAAAGCTGAAATCTTCCCTAAGGTTTTAGCTAGAAAATCTGAAATCTTCTTTCAGATTTTTGGAAAGGTTTGGAGTTGCTTCTTCAACTTACATTGACGAGAACTTCTTGTCTCCTAGCATTGGATAATCTTCAAGAGTGCTCACTACCGTGGGAGAACTTTCAACCATTCATCCATGAATGTCGGATCTAGATACTGAGTACGGCATCACTTGGGACGACGACGGCTTCACCGACATTCTTGGGTCCACCTTCTTCGGCGTGAACCCGCCCGGAGATTGACCACACAATCGAAGAATACGTGGATCGCATTTTGTTCGCGTTGACGGAAGCCATTGACGAGCATTTTGAAGGCATCGAGTGGAGGATCTCCACGTCTCCTTAGCAAAGGTTTCTCTTTCACTTGCATCTAATTTCTTTTAAGTCCAAATTCTCATTGATGTGATTGAAGTTGCGAAAGTCTCCTCCAAGTGCTCTTGCTAACTTAGTAATTCATAGGAATTGAGTGTACTTTCTTTGCATCCTAAATCTCGTTGTTAGATTAGGGATTAACTTGAAAACTACTAATTTGTATTGTTTTATTTTTCTTATTTATCTTGGAAGTTCAAAGCTCGGTGCATGTGATTTAGCCTACGCAAAATATCTCCTTAATTGTTTTACTCTTCGGTGATAATTGCTAGTAATTTAATTCCAAAATTATTCTAATCTAAGAGTTGTGCAATGCCTAAATGAATCCATAAGCATCTCATCTAAGTAGTCCTACATCAATATTAGTGTGTTCAGCATAGGCACCCGCACTGGCAATTATATATATATATATATATGTTAGACTACTATACTTCTTAGTGGATAAAGTCTTTTGTCCTTGCACATCTTTCACCCTCATAAATATATTTGAATGGCTAAGCTTAAATATTTAAGCCAACTTTTAGATACTTAAAATCTTAGCCATTCAAATATGTTTGATCGGATGCATTAAATTTCTTCACATGATGTTTTAAATTGCATGAGAATAAAATCATGATTTTCTTGTTATTGTTTTTCAAATGATATAGAGTTAAATACATAATTGGTTATAATATTTAAAGTGAAATGCGTGGGCAAACTAGACACTCAACTACGTATATATATGCTGCCCTATCAAACTTTAATTTAAATACTTGATGAACAGTTAAATTATTCTCAAAATCTATGAAACATTGCCTACATGTAATTTTCGTGCCATTAGATGATAGATAAAATTAGGAATAGAATGTTGCTTCTCCACCTAGGAGAATAATTCTCTTCCAAACCAAAAGATTCTGCTGTATTTGTTGCAAGAATCATCAGATACTTGATGCAGTGTTTCAGTTGAAGGAGCTCTTTGTGAGCAAATTGTGCTTTAGAATTGCTTTACTAATTTAATTGTGATGATGTATTCCTGGTATTTTAAAGGAAGTTAGGTTGACATTTTCATCGTATTTTTTTTCCTTAACAAGTGCTGCTCAAGTATCTCCGATTGCCATGGATGCACACCACATTCCATGTGTTACTGAATTGCTTGAGCAGGTGAAGAGATCGAAATTTCTTGACATTTCTAAAGCATTTCCTTCGAAATATGATAAAAAACCTATCATAGGGTTCACTTATGAAGTACGTGAAAATAATGCCACTCATGCTTTTGTTTTCGATCTCAAAATTTGCTTTTATACTAAATCACTCTTTCTCACATTTTACTGATATTTCTACTCCACAGGAACCTCCAGTTCTAGGGAAGAGAACCTTTTTCACTGCTCGGACATCCGGGTAAGGACAATTTACATCCAAGTTTCTCAACATATTTTATGAAATGAAAAAATAATTCACATGCATAGACATTTTTTTGTATCCCTAAGCTTTTAATATGGTCTAATGACTAACGGTAAGCTTATGCATACTCTATTCGCATTTGTTTGTGTATAATTTTTATTTTTGTATGCTATAGTGCTTTATGTGATCATAACACACCATAAATAATTTCTAGAAATAATTTTTTATTAGTAACATGGATGGTGATGGATAAATGTTTTCAATATGCAGAAACATCGGGTTTAGCTGTCTGATTTGCAAATAAGATATTTATCAATCCATGAATACTGCATTCTGAATAACGTAGTCTAATGATTACCTATTATAAATCATGATTTTATTACGGATAAATATCTTATCTAGGATGCATTTAGGTATTAGATTGTTTTAACTGATACCTAGATAGCAAATTTCTTTAACCAAGAGAAATTTGAGTCCTTCGAAGGAATTCCTTCTGGGAGAACAGGCCAGGAGGGAAATTTAAGTCCTTTGAAGGAATTCCTTCTGGGAGATCAGGTGAAGAAGCCTTACATTAACTTTGTGTAAGTGTACTTGAAGTGCATGCAATTCCTCCTTCAGCTATGAAATATCTTATGAATCATTTGGTTGCTTGTAGATGAAAAATATGTTTTAGAAAGTGCTGATTTTGTTTTCTTTTAGTTCGAGCGTGAAATTGAAGTAATCACTTTTGAGGGAATTAAAGTTATTGTTAGAGTTTCAAATCCATATTGATTTCTAAATGCATTATACCAAATGATGGAATCTAGGAAACTCATCATTTTTCAAAACACATTATCCAACTCTAATTAACCAATTGAGCCCTTGGAAGGTAGTTTATTTACTGGTTATCAAAAAGCAGCATGGAGTGTAACAAAATTGGATGGGTTCCTCTCTCATTACCATAACAGTTGCATGGTGTAATCACACACATCTCAGCCCTGCAATCCACTTTGGGTGCTGGGACTAATTCCCATTTTTTTCTCTCAAAATGCTTTTTTGGTTTTGTTGGGTTCAATTTCAATCATCCAAAGTGGATTGTACGACTGCAACATGGATAATTGCTCCATGCAATTACCATCATAATTTGAGGGAACCTGAACCCAATTGACTCTTTATGGATTTAATGTTTACGTGCTAATTCATTTAGGGGACAAGATCAATGGATCCAGTGTGATGATTGCTTAAAATGGAGAAGGATTCCTGTGGAATTCTTGCCTCCTTCTAAATGGACATGCACTGAGAATACATGGGATTTAAAAAGGTGCGTGTTACCAGTTTTTTTTTTTTCTAAAGTTTAGTTTATGTCATTCACATTGGCCTCATGGAACTCTTCCTTGTATGTGCAAAAGATTATACAGCTTCAGATAGATTAGAAAGCACATTCCATTATAGGATTGCGCATGCAGATCTAGTAGCATTCTTCTCATGCATCAAATGTTGGAATGTCTTTTGTCCTGTTAATCTGGGATATTCATTTCCTTGAATCAACATCTTTCACCAGTTTCGAAGATTTTATTTCAGCCAAATCTACTTTTTTTCTGCTTAGTATAATTACTACTCTGAAGTTGAATTATACTTATGTAATAAAAAAAAATCTATCGACACTGTTGAGTAGAAATTGGTCTTGTGAGGATTGCATTAGGTCATAATAATGTAACTCCTGTAAATAGCAGTGAGTGGAGTCATGAGAGAACAGTTTTACCTTATAACTTGTGCAGAAGTTTGATATTTGTTTTTCAAGAAAAAAAAATCTATCTGGATATCTAGTGTTATTCTAGAAAAAGTTTTTTTTCTAGCTCAGCATTTGCTAATTTATTTTTGTAACATATGATGGTAGAAAGATCCAATTAAGTGTACATTCAATAATGATCTGGAAGAGAAATGCTGAATAAATTAAGAAATTTCAACTTTTTAAAGATGGAATGCTTTATCTGAGATGAGCTGGTTTGCCAATTGCCATACAAGCAATCACAGTTTTCACGGTGGATCTTGTGTAATGAAACATGCTGTATTGAAGAGGATTCAACTTTTACACCTTGTGCGATTTTTAACTTAGTTGATCGTAAGGTAATATGCATTGTCTTATATGTTAAGCATGATTGTTTACAAAAAGAGCAAGTGGTCAGCATTATCTTCGTTGAATTGCATAGAACTCAAGATGCGGAAGTGTAAATTGGATTTTGAAATCATCTGCAGTAAAACAGAACAAGTGATACAGAAATACTAGTACAGGAAATATATACTCCAATAGAAAGATAAGTTTTCCTGACTTAGTTTTAGATGACAGCTTTTGGTATGAATCAACAGCTAAGATTGTTTGTGCTGTTGGCATCGTGTCATAGGTTTGGGTCTCTGAAAGGATGCTTGTAGGGGTTAGAATGCAAATGGTACGATCAAGGTTATTAAAACAGGACCGGACTGGCTGGTTCAACCGATCAAACTGGGAACCAGCTAGTCAGCCAGTTTGATCAAAATAGAGAACCAGATTAGCATCAAACCGGAGTTCAACTGCTCGAACCAGCGGTCTGACCGTTAAACTGGCGATGGTTTTTCAAAACCACCCTATTTGATCATGCATTAATAGTAACCGTCGGATGATATGAACGCGAGCCAAATCCATCAAAAATAACCTAAATTTCATAAGATCTCTATCAATTTTTGTAAGTCAAGTTCCATGTTCAATCTGAATTTTTGCAGCCTCCTAGCATGTCCCCCACGTAGAGGGAATTTCAGAAGAGCTAAGTCGCCCACCATCCTATGAAATGTGTGTATGGTTAGTGTTGGGTTATACCGCAGTCAATATCTTCAACTCAAAATGCTACAGAAAGTGTGTATAGGTTTTCGAGGTACCTGCACGAAAGCTTGTAAATTTTTTCGTTGGCATAAAAGCACCTTCAAGAGTGTCCCTAGCATGCTACGAAAAGCACGTACAGGGCCTATCCACTTTTCTACTAATGTCGTCTTCGAACATCCTCCTACCGTGCTACAAAAAGCGCATACATGGGGTTGCACGCGACTCTGTAAACGTCGACAATGGGATTTGAGTTTTTTGAGATTAGCCAGCATTATAGCTTAGCATAAGATAGATGACGACGACGATAAAATGGCTAGGGTTCAAATCACAAGCTTCTTTCTCTCTTTTTTTCTTTATTATTATTTTATTATTATTATTATTTGTTTAACTACTAATAATATAGAGAGGGAGAGAGTAAGATGAACTCTATTAAAGAGAAAATGGAGAGTGAAGTCTTTGTTAGAAAAATAGAGAGAATGTTTTCTGTTTGTAGGGAGAGATGTAAGGGTTGTTTTAGGTTGGCTGAGGAAGGAGAGGGGCTTAGGTGTGGAGGTTCACGTGGGTTGATGTCGCCTAGATGGAGGTTGTAGGGACTGTAGGTTGGCTGGATTGTTGGGAAATGTATGTAGAGGGAGCAGCTTGTGAGGGTAGCAGGAAGAATGGTCTGTTGGAGGGCTGTTGGGTGTATATTTGGGCTCGAATAGAGGGGAAGAAGAGATGAAGTTTGAGTTTGTTGTGGATGTGAGAAGATGGGTTAAGTAGCCACTGTAGCGAGGAAGAATAGTAGTTGTTTGCGGGGATCTGGTTATTGGGTTCAGGTATGAGGTTGGGAGTGGGTTGAGAGACCAGAGATGGGAAGGGCAGGTGGTAGATGGAAGATCGGCTGTGGGTTGTGGCTTCTTGAGTTCGATGGAGAGTTGTAGGGGAGTAGTGAAGTGGAGTTTTTGAGAAGATTGAGGATGGGCTTGAGGTTTGGCTGCTGTAGGAGTTTCACGTCAGCATGTGGCATTCACGTGAGTGGGAGGAAAGGTGTGCTTGCACGACCGCTGTGAAGTATGGCCGGCCTGGACAGGAATGAGTGGAGGGCTGCTGTTTGGGTGTGTTGTACATGATGTGGGAATAGAGGAGAGAGACGGGTTGGTAGACCGAACAGAGTAGGAGGAGAGGACGAGTGAGATCTGGAGGTTGGTGGTGGCTCGATTTGAAAGAAGCGTTTGGTGAGGGATCGGTTGATGAGTGGAATGGAGTTGCGATTGCTTCTGCTATGCTAGTAGAGAAATGGAGATGTTACTGGGGCTACACGACACAGGTGATAGAGGGGAGAGGCAACGAGGCAACAATGCTCGAACAGAGAGTAGAGCGGGGGCTTGTGAATAGAGAGATCCAAGAGACGGGTGAGGATATGGGAAGAAAAAAAAGACTGATGGGTATTTAGTTTAGGAAAATTTTTTATTACTATATATATGTTATATTTTCCATCTTGGCTGAATTGGGCGGTTGTAGAATGAATTTGATCAGGAGATGGGGGATGGGGCAGCCGTTTGTAATAAATTTGAACATTGATATTAGATATATATATATATATATAGCCCGGATGCTCGACTTAGCGAGGCGGGAACTAAAAGTAGGACGATATTAATTCTATTCTTTTCAATGATCACATTAACATAAAATCTCTCAAAGCAACTGAAGAGACATTATAACGAAGATATTCCATAAAAATCTATTAATTTCACTTTTCAAAGCTAATAATTACAAGAATCATAGTTTACCTGCTCTCATTATTAAGTCGTCTTCTATAGAAAAATTCTTCTCATCTGGCAATTTCTAATCTTTGAGGACTTACCTGAACATAATTTAATAGAATTAGTTTACTAAGTAAACTCAGTGGATAACTGTTAAAATAATTAACTTACATAAACTACAATACATACAACCTTTGATATATGTCACTTCATTTAACATTGAAATACATTTCCTTTCTTTAGTTCATTTCATTACATTCATTTATTTATACATGTTATATTATATTCTATTTATTCCTTTATACATTATCTATTATATTCATTTATAACGTTTACTTTAACATGTGTTTTTTTCTCATTTATTTTGAGCAGAGAACTGTTTAAATGTACTCAAAGGTACAACTTTTTTCATTTCCTTTTTTTCTTTTCCATAACTTTTTCTTTTTTACGTGCACGGTGTTGACGTATATTTTCGTATCGACCCGACCCCGATCGAGCCCGACTAGGCTCGATCAACCCAATCGAATGTCGTCGAACCAAAATCGGTCCAAATTAAACCCCAATTTAATTAAATTAAATCAAAATTAATTTAATTTATATCAAATCAATTTAAATCAAACCCCGTCGAGCATCATCGAGCCAATTCAACGCAATTCGACATTGATTCGAGTTCAATTTCATGAAATTAACTTGATCGGACCTGCTCGGACCCAAACCGACCCAAATCAGTTTAATTGAGTTCAATTTGTGCTCAATTTTAGCCCTAACTAATGAGGTCATAGCTAATTTGATTTCCCAAATCAGATTTCTTGATCTAGGGCTGAGATTGGATCAGAAATCCCACCCAATTTCACATCAATTGGGCAGCAAATCGACTCAAGTGGATTTTGTTCTCATTTCTCACAACGAGGCAGCAGCGAGACGGGATGTGTCGAGCGGTTGGGCTCAGTTCGTGCGCCTCAAGGAGAACGAGAGAGAGGGGGAGCCTCATTTGGCTCCCCTGGTGTTTTCCGTCCCGACAGAAAGAGAGCGAGAGAGAAAGCTAGGGAGAGGCGGAACCAGTGCTCCCACGTGCGACTCCATCGCTCGACTCCCCTCCTATTTCCGTTTCTTCGCCACGAGCGAGAGAGAGCAGAGGTTCCAGGCGAAACCTATACAGGCGCTGAAGCCCCGTTCGCACGGCTTTCCCCCTGTTTGCGACCTCCTGGCCGCTCGGAACCTGAGTCCGACTCCACCTGGACAGTCAGCCGGACCTCCTAGGAGCTCTACCTCACTCACCCCGCCGGACCTCTTGAAGCCTCCGACCTCCAGGTTTAGTACAAAGCCCCGGTTTTGTCCAGATTTGGGCCGGTGTGGCACTTCTTGCGAAAGAACGCTTCTACTCGCTTTCTTCTTCATTTCCGGCGACCTCGGGGTGAGTTGGAAGCTGTTTGAAGCTTCCAAACAGCAAAGGAGGGCTTCAAAACCTCCCAAACAGTGATTTGGAGCCTTCAAATAACCTTGGAAAGCAGCGACGACTCTCGGAGCGGCTTGGATAGCGACTTTGGAGCTTGGATAGAGAGTCGAAACTTGGATATGAGCGCTAGGATAACCCGAGAGAGGTATAACGTTGAAACCTAGGAGAAACCTTAAGGCTCCCTAGCCAATGACATGTGGTTGACGATCCAAAGCCTTAGGTCCCTAGAAACTTTAATCTTTTGGTCTTCCGAAATCCTATCTTTG